CATTCACTCATTTATCAGTACTTTGGACATGCTTCAAGCGTAGCTTTCTCATAAATGACCACACTATTCGCGACCCATTTCAACCTGTGAATCCATCCATCCCATTCCATCCCACCCAATCACATCCATTCACTCATCCATCAGTACTTGGTTGAGCTTCAAGTGTAACTTTCTTATAATGACATAAAAATATTGAATAATTATTTTATCGCAAACCCCATTATTTCAGCTGATATAGATTTGTTTTTTACATGTTGTCCAGCTCTTTTCATGATACGAGATGACAAGTTTTGTAAGGACTTGCCCAATGAAGTGAAGGAGGCTTTTGTAGATGAGAAAAACCGACGCAAACCAGCAATACTCAAAAATATCATCAAAGCAAAATTCCCAGTTAGTATATAGACTGAGACCCTTTTATCTTATCTCTTTATAGCATAATTTCAAACCATGAGACAATTTTCAGTCTTGAGAATAAGATTCTTATTTATGTGTTTTCCTTGTGTCTTAATTCTCACGTGCAACTGGTAAACAAAGAAATGATACTCTAGGGAATGACACATGGTCTTGAGAACAAGATTCTTTGTTTGAGTTTTATCCATATTCAAGTGTCTTCTCGTGCACAACTGTTAAACAAAGAAATGATACTCTAGGGAATGACAAATCATTGGTCTGAAATGAGAAACTATAACAATGGCTCTATTTGCACCAGTGGGGGTGGGGGTGAGGTTTTTGCACTTTGGCATGGACATTCCGCCTAAACCACAGGAACCCCGACAGTATGCATTATGGAACACTCTTTTGTCGTAAAGGGGTCTTATTTTATTCTTATGACGACCACATAGAATTTCTAGAATATTTAACTTTTTTATCAAAAATAGTGCCTAGAAAGCTGAATGTTATGAGGAGGTGTATATACACCTTTCATCTTCCCCTTACAACCACTGTTGCACATAAAGAATTGCGCCAGCTATAAAGTCAGGTTTAGCAGTGTTTTCTTCCATCTATTTTCTAGGCTCAAAATATTGCTTATTATGAGGTTGGATGTGATCCCAAGAATCTGGCTTTGGTGGCCAAAACCAAGGATGAGAGAGTGTTAAAGTTTAAAGGGCTTGACAGTGACTCTTTATTTTGTAAAACTGTAAGTGTAGTAATATGAAAACCAACCCTTTTTTTGCCATGTCAGTTCTGGTTTCCAATCATACATTTACTCCGATGAAGGACTAGCATCTGAAACGTTGTTAAGTTTTTTCATCTTTTCACTGTGTATAATTTACCCTTTTATCATTACTGTTTCATTAGAAACACCTACGCAGCACACACTAGTTTTTAGCTTGTTATCTCTTCTCAATCATACAATGTTTTGCTGTTTGTTTTCTTCATCTGCCTTGTCTTCCTTGCTTCCTTCCCTCATTCCTTTTATCCTTTCTTTTCTTCTTCTGCCTTCTTTCCATCTTCATGTATTCCTTCCTCCCAGTTGCCTTTTTTCTTCCTTCCTGTCTTTCCTAATTCCTCCTCTTCTTTCTTTCATTCTTCCTTCCATCTGCCTTGATATAATTTCATTTCCTGGAGAAAATAGGCATAATAATCTTTGCCAGTTGTTTTTTCAACCATAACTAGGCTATTAAAATTATGGTTTTGATGTTTTTGATTTATCCATTTTCATTTTCCAGGTTTTCAACTTTTTCAAGGAACGTATTGGACATCAATACCCTCTTGACCCAACTCCTGAAGATCCCCTGGAAGCACAAAGAAAAGCTCATGAGGTAACAATAGCATCCTCATGATCTGATCTGACTTTGCATCTTTATTGAAGCAACCACAACAAATCATTTAATACAACTAACTGTTGTCATATTGTTTTCTTCTGCAGTCATTTGTAGATAYACGCTCTGAAGTTGTTTTAGGAAGAGACAAGATCATAGCTGATGTGAGTAAAACAGTTTCCAACAATCCATACTCAGCCTTAAGATGTTCTTGACAGCTAGCTAAGGGACTGTTCATTTTTTTACTGGGGATGGGGTGGCCCGGGGGATGGGCGTACTCTTGCCCGTTTAGGGTAGGGATGTGCTGCTGAGCCCACTGAACCCTGACCCTGTTCCAGAGTAAAATCGCTGAAATTTATACCCTGTTACAGAGTAAGATTGCTGAAAACCATAACCTTTTCCGGTATTGTGAAAATAGATACCCTGTTCCAGAGAGGAGAGAGCTTGATTTCATATACCCTGTCCCAGAGCGAGCGCAATTTTATATGCCCTGTTCCAGAGTAGAATTGCTGAAAACCATACACTGTTTGGCAGCACATACCCGTATAGCGAATATAGGGGAGTACCCCCCCGGGCGGGGTGGGGGATGGTATTTGGAATGGGAGGGGTGGGGGAATTGGTTATAACAAAAATCAGGAGACTAAAAGGAATTCAAATTTTGCAACACTAACGATAAACAGAACAGAAAACAATAGAAAGCTCTTTTACTGTGACTTTACTATGATGCCATTTAATTACACCTCCGCCCCCACCCCCCATGTTATTACTGTTTCAGATCGAAAGCTACATTGAAACAGACACTACTCAAGCTCCCTTGTTACTAGTGGGTAATGCTGGCTCAGGGAAATCAGCAATTATGGCTTGTATCGCAAGTAATGCCATATTCAAAGGGGCAAAACTCAAATGCGCAAGGTAAGTATACTGTTTCCTACCTTTGTACATTGATTTGTTCCTTCATTTGTTTGTTGGTTTGTTTGTTGCTTCTTTCATTTGTTTGTTTGTTTGTATATTTTTCCTCCTGTATAATTTCTAGACCTAAAGAAGGTTGGAAAGTATTCTTCCACTTCGTTGGAGCAACTCCTGGCTCCACAGATCTTGCATTCTTCCTTCAAAGATTAACAAGAGAATTAGGTTACTCCAAGGTACTGTTTGTTTTCCCACTTTTAGTTCACAGTTCAAACCCTGAAACAACCTCTCGGCAGGCTGATCTTAGTCAGAGCTCAAATTACTACTTTTCCCAGTAGAATGAGAAAGTTGCGATTTTTGTATTGCCTTTGTAGCATTTGTTATGTGAACTGTTAATGTGCATTTCAAATCAACCATGTGGTGCCAATGTTGTACCACATGGGCAAGTTTTTTACATCACGTAATTCAAACTTGACTGAATTTTAATCAAGTGTTGTAAAAAACCTGTCCACGTGGTACAACATTGGCATCACATGGTTGATTTTGAATGCACTTGTGGTTAACACGACAGACACTAAGATCAAACCCTGTCCCCCTTCCCTTCCTCCTCCTCCTCCCCCCTACCTCCCTGAGTCCTCAAAGAGCCACTACACAGGCTAATTGGAATTTAGCAAGTTTGGTTTTGCTCTAACTAAGAAGGAAAACTAGACAACCTGAAGAAAAACAATTGAATCAAGGCCAGATGACCAAACATATGCATCTTTAGCATAGAGATGCAGAGTCAAGGGAAATTCTTCAGTAAAAATGCATTATTCATAATTTTATGTTGAATGCTTTTTATTGTTTATAGACAGAAGTGGCAAGTGATTTGGACTCCTTGATCCAGATGACAAATAGTCTGTTGTCAAATGACAATACCAAACCAGCTATTATAGTAATAGATGCTATAAACCAGGTATATAGACTAGTGCAGAGTACTATTCGCACTGTAACAAATAATTTGGCAAAAACCCCTTGAGTTAAAATGGACACTCCCAAGGTATGTTATTTTCAACTATTTTCAGCTTGATGAAGACAAGATTCATTTCCTGCCTCGCTGGTTGCCTGAGACATTATCCCCCAATGTACGAGTCATCATGTCCATGATTGATCAGACAGAATGCCACAGGATGGTTAGAGCCTACAAATCGGGACCTAAAGAAATCATATGTGGAGAGCTAGACTACAATTCCCGACAGGTTGGGAGAAATATTACCCTGTTTTTGTTTTTGTTTTTTTTTTGTTGTTGTTTTTTTCTTTTGTTTTTTGTTTGTTTTTGTTTAACAGGCCGTTTTCCTAAGGTTGCGTGTGCATCCAACTTGACGGGCCACAAAACTGAAAATGCAAATTCAGTAAAATTGAGAAGCCAGTTTTATATTTAAAGAGGAGAATAATCAATTTTATGAATTCTTATCGAAAAAAAAATTCATAGCAATGCATGATAATTACTCATGTTCTGGTATCGTAGGTCCGTCAAGTTCCTCAAATTTGGATAAACATGCAACCTTGGGAAAGTGGTCTATTGTATTTATAAGACCATATACCGTGTTTTGTGCTGCTTTTTATTTTGACAAAACTATGCACTGAATGACAAAAGCTTACAAGCCAACACTTTTCCCATACAAATACTTGATAAAATATTTGATTATATTTAATGTCATTTCTTCTATGGTAATCATTTCGAGCTAAAACTTTGCCGTCCTACTAAATTTGACGTGCGCTTTTCATTTCTGGAGTTCATTTTGACTCATTTGCTCGTTTTAATTGAATGGGGTCTATAGGTGCTATACAGTAGTATTTGTATGGCCGTGAAAAAATCGGCCTATGCATTGCCATGTCACAACCGTGTTTGTGCTGTGAGCTTTTGACAGTCATATGAAAACTGCTGTATAGACGCCTTGTAGTTCCTTACCTGGTTTGGACCATGGAGGGGCTTTAACGTTAATGCATCCCATCCCTTACCATTACCACTACTACTACCCTCAAAGTTTTGACATAACAGGCCTTATTCTAAGAGTAGTGTCGTTGCTTCCCCCCCCCCCCCCCCCTCTCTCTCCCCCGAAAATGCCAAACATGGAAGTCTCATGTATTTCAATTTTGTGTCCAAACAGGCTATAGTAGAGAACATCCTAAGGCTATACAGTAAACGCCTGGATGAACACCAGATGGAACTCCTCCTCAAAAAAGAAGGTTCTGCCAACCCATTGTGGTTAACCCTTGCCTGTGAGGAGCTGAGAGTGTTTGGACACTTCAACCAGATGGATGAGAAGATTATGAGTCTGGAGGATGATCTTATCAGGTATAAAGTGAACCAAAATCAAACCTCGCTCCACTCCTGGCACTTACTTGCTTTATGAATAAACGAAGAATGTGGACATCAACTAATTAGATGTCTTTAATATCCGTTTTCTCTTCAGTCTCGAGGAGCAGTTGTTGATGCGCTTTGAGAAGGAAAATGGGGGACCTGTGGTTATTGCCACCATGTGTTTACTGGAAACATCACGTCATGGTCTCCTAGAGACAGAACTTCTGGAGATGTTGGCAGACGAGAACATGCTGGTACCGCCTGAATACGTTGAAGAAGAAACTTTGACAGCTGAAAAAACTGATGAACTTGAAGCACCAAGAGGTATATTATTTCTTTAGCTTCAGCAAAGGGGTAACTGTGGAACCGTTTCCACAGGAAGCCCGTCATCGGGATTAACAAATTGTGGGATTAATTACTTTCCAGGTCTTGACATGAATGAAGGAGACGCCGTTGCCTCCAAACTTCAAAAAGAAGTTGACGAGACTTACGTAGTGAAGAAGGACGAGGACGAGGAAAAGGAAATAAAGAAAACTACAAAGAAGAAAACCAAGAAGTTTCTTTCAGCAGCAAAGTCGGCCCTAGTCTACCGAGCCTTGAAGCCACTTCTCCGTCCGTGTGGAGACTTGGGCGAGGGTCGGTTTGACTTTTATCATCGCTCTATCAGTAAAGCTGTGAGAAAAAGGTAGGTTTGAAAACATTGAAGGTCACTTTCTTTAGAAAATTTAAAATTTTTAGAACAGTTCTCAAAGTACTTCTAGTCTGGTCCAATCAGAATATAACAAATCACGCAACGTTATATCAACATGTTTGACACTGAAGGGGCTTCCTCTACGAACCAATCAAATCGCATGTCATCTAATCATCGTGTGCTTGACACTCTAGGACTTTAAATCTAAACCAATCAGAATTCTAGAAATCACACAGCTTCCAATCATAGTGCTTTACTGTCAAAATATCTTTTACTATATATCAATCAAAATACAAGAAAGCACGGATCATCGAATAGCAAGGCTTCAGTTCAAAAGCCATTCAGGAATACTATGTCCTCTTACAATGTATTATGTTGCATCAGGTATTTCAGTGGCGCTGAAGGCTACGTCAAGCACCAGTACGCGTTCTGGCATGGAAGACATGCGGAGTATTTTGAAAGTTGCGATGACTATGACAGAAAATCAGAGGTAAGGAATTATCTAAAAAATATATATTTAATATATTGATATACATTTTTTTATTATTAAAATTATTTAGACTGAAATACGCATGCTCAGATGTAGTGTTTCTATTGGTTCAAGCCCTAACCGGAAATTATGTCACGATTTTCCATAGGAACTACCATACCATCTGGAGCAGCTTCTTGACCACAATCGTCTGACACGGTGTCTGTTAGACTGGGAGATCTTCCAGCGATTATACTCCGAAGACTTCAGTATTGATTTACTGAGTTCATGGCAGAAGGCTGGAGGTTACGCTGCAGCTTCTCTGCTCTACAAAGAATCGTTGAATGTTCTAAAGATTGCTGAAGTACCTCTGGAAGAATACGCCAAGAAGATGGAAATGGTTATCACCTTCCTGTGAGTCATATTTCTTTTTTCTTTTTCTTTTTTTCTTTTTTAAGTTATATTTCATTTTCTTACTTATTTCCTTCCTATCTTTCTTGCATTTCCCTTTCCTTTCATTATCTTTCCTTCCCTTTCCTTGTATTCCATTTCCTATTCTTCTATTCCCTTTTCTTCCTTATCTTTCCATTTCTTTCTTTTTCCTTTCTCGTCTTTTCTCTCATTCTCTTTTCTTCCTTCATTTCTTCTCCTCTTCTCTGCTATCATTTTCTTTCCATTTCCTTACTTCCCTTTCTTCTATCCTATTCCTTCTCCCCCTTCTCTCTTGCTGTCCGGTCTTTCCCTCCTTTTCGCACTTATTCGGAAGCTCGGGTGGCGTAGCGGTGAGAGTGCTCACCTCTCACCAATGCGACCCAGGTTCGACTCCTGACGAGCTCGGTGTTGTATGTTAGTAGAGTTGTTTGTTGGTTCTCTCCTGTGCTTAGTTCAAGGGTTTTCCGGGTTCTCCGGCTTTCCTCCCTCCGCAAAAATCAACTTCTAAATTCCAATTGGAATCCAGTGGAAGAAGAGCCACTCTGTGGAATCCACTGTTAATCCCATTATTTATTTATTTATTTATTTAGAGCCACGATTAGAATCAATATATAATCATGTTGTTCCACTTACCCTATACACGTATTAATAGCATTCAAGCTGGCCAGTACGAAGAGTCGTTCGTAGTGAACTCGGCGCGAGGACAGACAAAATGGCGGACATCTACCATCTAATGGCGAAAACGAAAAGCGAGGTAAAGGACACGTTACGGGGCCGTCTTATATACTATTGTCTCTGACTTTAGTTACTTTTTTATTCACGGACTTTTCGGAAAGATAAGATTTTGTTCATATTATATTTAGATCGTGAAAAATCACAATTTTGTCACGATGGCTCAGCTCGAAGACGATAAAGAAGTCGTGGCTATTGCAAAAAAGTCGCTTTCTTATCGAGAACAACTGAAAGGAGAAGAGCATGAGGTGAGTATTGGTACTATGTTTAACCGAAAGATGAATGCAAGTGCTCGCTCACTCACCTCGTACAGGGCCAGATGCATATGCGATTTGGCAGATAGAAGATACGACCTCTGCGATCTGGCAGATAAAAGAAATGGCAGGCTTGATCACGGGATCTCCTCTTGCAATTCGTCCAATACAATAAACTTGCTCGCGCGTGCGCATTGACGTTTCTCCTCTGAGTCGTGATTCATCGTGAAATTTGACAGAGATGCTGTTGCAGCAAACTAATTAGCAATTAAAAAAAAAAAGAATTGGTATAATGATGAACTTTATTTACACTCTTCGGAAATAAAATATAATCTATGAAAACCTAAAATTAGTAAAATATAGGATATATTAATTATAATAACAATCTATTAAAATATTTATTAAAAATTTATCTACTGATTAGCAATTATCCCGAATGCCGGGTCTATTGACTAATAGGTTATGAGGTATAGAGGACTAATTGCTTGAGTCAAATCCAACTAGTCAGTCAAATATATAGATGCATGCAAGATTTGAATGAAAGTTAAATTTAATGGTTTGGTTTTCAAAGCCGGCATTTTTTGCTATTAGTAGGATATAACTTTTTAATATGACCCAGGAGTAGCTCATCCAATCAGAACGCAGCATTGATGATAGACCACTGATTGGATTTGAGCAAAAGAATTTATTGTTTTTTCCCGTATTTTTCTTTCAGCACAAGAAAGCCATGTTATGCATCATCATCACCCATCACTTGGCAATTGTAGCAGATCTGGAATCGAAAAATGGTGCAAAGCATAGAGCGGAATGCTTCAAGATTATAGACGACTCAATAGCCATCTTCGAAAAAGTAATTTATTTTTCGTTTTTCTTTCGTCTTGCTCATTTCTGTTATTGTTACTGTGCGTCATCGTTATCACCTTTATCGTCATCTATCACGTCATCACCATCATCATTACCATCACCATCACAATGATCACCATCATCATAATAACCATCATCATCACCATCATCATCACCACCACCATCATCACCATCATCATCACCACCACCATCATCACCATCACAATGATCACCATCATCATCAACGTTTCCCAAAATCAATGATATCATGTCTTGAACCTTATAGGACATTGTACGACTCGTTATTCGATTGACACCAAGTTAGTG